CCTCCCTTCCTGCTGCAGTTTAAGATGGCGGCCGAGGTGGATTTCGGAGACCGCGAGCTCTTCGAGCAGCTGGAGGAAGAGGACGGGCCGCCGCCCCCGCCTCGCCTCAGCTTGGAGGAGGAGGAGGAGGAGAGACCCGAGAAAGCGCTGGAGGAGCTGTACGCTCGGCTGCGGGACCGCGAGGAGACGGTGCGGCGGCTCCGGGAGGAGAATATCCTAACGGGAGAGGCAGGGCCTGCTCGGGGAGGGGGAAGGGGCTGCGCCGCTCCTGCCGCCGGTTCCCTTCCGGGCCAGCCGTGGCGCCTGCCCTGCTGGGGCTGCCAGCAGCCTCCGGTTTGAGGGGCTCCGGCTTTTCCCGCCTCCCGGCGTCCTGCGTGAGGCCGCGCCCTGTGGCTTTGTGAGGGGAGGCCAGAGCCATGGCGCGTCCAGAAGGACGATGAGAAACGAGCTTGGCGGGGAGGGGGCAGCCTCCCCCCGGCGGCTCTCCACTTTGGGCCGCTGCGAGCCGACGGCTCGGTGCGGTGGCTGGTTTTTCCTGGGTTTTGCCTCCGTTTAAGAGGAAGTTTTCTCTGAAAACTTATCCCCAGAACGTCCGAGTCCGTGCCAGCTTCGGTTCAGCTGGCCGAGGAGGCGTTTGAGTTCTCGAGTGCTGGGAGGACTGTTAAAAACGCTTGGTGCCGGGCTCCTTGCTGACTTTCTAGCGAAAATACACAGCTGTGCGTCCACCTTGAAAATCCATTTTTAACATAGCTAGGAATAATTTTAAACTGTTAAATTGTGACTGGTTCCCTTAAGGGTTTTGGGGTTCATTACTTTAGCAGAGTGGAATCTGAAATGGTTTTTGTAGTTATTTTCTGTTTACAAGTATGTGTGTCTTACTGTTGACTCTTGTTTGTGTTGATTGTAGGTATTTTTAAATAAAATACTATAAATCTGACAATTCAGCCATAGTGCATGTAGTGAACTGTACTATTTGGATTGTCACAGCTAGTCCTCTTTCATGTTTTTGGTTTAGGGTGGTTTTTTTTTCATTTGAACATTTAATTTTTTTCAGCAACAGGTGGATTTGTAAGTAATCCTCTGTGTAGTGAAAAGGAATGTCTGAAACCCCATTATTTATTATGTGGAATTCTTGTTAGGTGTTCTCTTGATTGTTTTGATCCTTTAACTAATTAAGGTGTGGGTCTGTGTCTTCTGAAGCAAGTAATGTTCCTTAATGATAAATTAACATCAGGAACTTAAAAGGAAGCTGAATATTCTGACTCGTCCTAGGTATGTTAATACTGCCTTAAAACTTTTCATGTGACGTGTATATGTTTGAAATAGAGTTTGCCTGAGATAACAGCTGCCTGGGGTAACCATGCCTGCCACGTCTTTTAGAAACCTTGTTTCTGTGTCCCCATCCCTGCCCAGATGTTTGGCTTCTAAAATGCTGTTACCATTCTCAAAAAGTCTTTTTAGGGTTGGGTATGAAGAACTTGGTTTGTATTGCTGTAACTTGATTTATTTGTGTGTATCTATCTGTTTATGAAACTTACGTGGCCGTTGGGCAAACAGCTTTTTGTAAAGTTCAGAAGTGAAAACAAGTACATTAAAATGGTTGAATAACAAAGAGATCTTATTTATAAGACTTTTATAACGGGTTACTGCAGTTAGAACATCACACTACAGAAATTTTCTTCTGTTTTTTCTTTCTACCTCATGCCAGGCAACCTGCTTTGCTTGAAAGAGGATGGTTTCTGTTTAAATGAATAGGAAGTTCTTCAAATGACAGACTTTGTGTTGGCCAAACCTTCCCCTCTCTGTGGACGACAGGCTCTGCTGTGACAAAACGGGTAGGGAATATTTACAGTAAAACTGGCACAGTAACCGCTGTCTGTGTCTGTTCTGTTCTAGTGGAATTTCAGTGGACAGCTCCAAATTTGATGGACCTCTTCTACAGATCTTATTTATGAACAATGTGATTTCTAAGTAAGTACTTTCCAAGAAAAAATAATCCTGACAGGAAATGGGACCGTTCTGTTTGTTTGTTCAGGTGTTAGTGATTGCCCGAAAGATGGATGTATGTTTTATTCAGTAATATAAACTTGTTCAGGCTTGAAGGGGAGAAAGGATAATGAGCAATAGAACAGGAGGTCTGTTGCTTTCATTCGTAATTTGTGTTTTTATCATGAAATGAAGCGTCAGTTGGGGTGAGTCTGAATAGCAGTTTCATGAGTGCTGTGGGTAAATATAACAAATTAAATATTCCCTGCCTCTCAGTTCATTTTTTGCCACGCTAATACAAGGGTGCTCTGTAATAATAGATTACATTCATATTGATGGGGGTTGGGAGGAGGGCTGGAAAGAAGCAGACTGGCCCTTTTTCTAGGTTCTTTAGTAAATGATAACTGCTTAAAAAAAAAAAAAAAGAAGAAAAAACTGGCATGCATTTCAATCCTGCTCATGTCTTTGTTTCTATATGCTTCTTCACTCTGTTACAGGCAGTATCACCAAGAAATTGAAGATTTTGTTTTTAATTTAGTTAAGAAATACGAAGAGCAGAAGAGAGGTGAACAAGAAAAAACGCACTTCAATGTTAAGCCACAGGTACTTTAAAACTCAAATTGTTATTAGGTGCTTCTTGTGTCTTTATAGAGGGAATATTGAAATACTGCACTGCTAAAGAGCTGAATTCTAGATATGTATTTTTTTCCCTGTTTAATTGCAAATCCAGTAACTATCAAACAAATGTTGTGTAACTGTTTTGTTCCAAAAGTAGAGGACCAGGACAAAGAAAATATCCTTTCTGCCAGTGAAAATGCTTCTTCAAAATTGTTCTTAGTGAAACTTGTGTAAAAGCAAAATAATAAGTTGGTTTAAATAATCAAGAAAAGATTGTAAGGTATAAATTTAACGTATCCTCTTCTGGTATTTGGCCTAACTTTTGAGTGTATATAAGAGCACAGATGAACAACAGAATCTGGAAATTTCTCCTTTCTTCCCTTAGTTTAGAATTTTGAGTTATACTTTACATTCACTTTTTTAGCATTCACTTTGAATAAAAGGGTGAAATGGCACATTTCTCTCCATCTTTCTCTTAGCCTTTGAGATAAGATTAAGATGTTCTTACGCAGCGTAGTTCTCCTCAAAGAAAACATCAGAAATGACCTGTGTCATACTTTGGACTGTGGAAAACGGCATGAGTAACGTAGACATCTCCATCCTACTGTTTAACTAATGTTCCACAAAGGAATAGAAGCTGTATTCCACGTTCTGTGCCTTTTACATACTTGAGTAATTTTAGAGCTTTTCTATTTAATGTTATTTCAAATTAATTATTTTCATTTTTACTTTTCCTATCAGCCCTCCAGTGTTCTTTTGGAAGAGGACTGTAAAACAGCAAGTTCGACTTCTGTTAAAAAAATGAAAGAAGCTTTTAGTGTAAGTTTTTGACTCTGTACTCTTCAATGGTAGGTCTGACTCTTCATTCTACATATTTGATATACACTGCCATTAAAATAAGATCTTGTTAAATTTCATTTATCAATGTAATAGCAGTTAAGTTCAGCATGTTTTGGCTACATCAATGGAAAAAATACTTATTTCTGCAGATGTGGGCATGTATTATTAGTAAATTCTTACAGAGTGGGGGAAAAAAAAAACTGGAAGTATTTCAAGCAGTGTAAATTTATAGAAATGCTGCCAATCTGACCTAAATACTGACACATTTCTGACAATTTTCTGACTTTTTTTCTACAGGTTGTAGGAAGTGTTCTGTATTTTACCAATTTTTGTCTCGATAAACTGGGACAGCCTATATTAAATGAGAATCCACAGCTGACAGAAGGATGGGAAATACCTAAGTATCCTGTTTACTAAAACAAGAGGGTTTTTTCTGTTTGTCAAATCCAAAGAATGACAGTCGGTAAATTGAACTCAGATTCTGTTCAGTAGATTGTACATGTCTATCAAAACTGTATCAGCCATTATAGGTGAAAAGTTTTAATGAGTCACTAATGGCTTTTTTACTCAAGACGTATAAGTATTTTGATGTGATTGGTGTGCTGATTTTTGGAAGGCTTATGCTTGGAAAGAGGAGATGCCTTATCCCCATAAATACATCTTGTGACTTTAAGAATTTCTTGGGCCCATCTGTAATCAGGTTTGGAATGACAGTTCATTCCAGGTACGAGTAAGCATTCTCCCTCTATAAAATGTGCTGTTTGGGAGAAGAAAAGAGCTTGGCCAACTCAAATATCTGTAAGGAGGTTTTTTTTCCAAATGCAGGAGCCAGAGGGAAAGTCTTTTAGTAAAATTTAGTTATGGAATGCTCTTAATCTGCATCAATTTTAAAGTTGCTTCTTTACTGTTTATTAAAGCCAGTATTTGAAAGGTGAGATTGAGGGAAATGCTGGAAAAAGTGTTTTTTACTGTTGTAGTCCTCGATGATAAAAAGAAATTGCACAAGAAATTTCTCAAGTAATCTCATCTCCTCAGTTTTCCAGTAGTGCTTCTGCCCTAGAAAGAGTCAGAACAAGAACCAGTTTCCCAGTTCATTTCTCTAGTATCTAGTTATCAAGCTTGTGATGAAAGTAAATTACTAATGTTAAAAAATTACTTGTATCTGAATGAAAATTGCAAATTTACAAGCTGGCTAACTTGGGTTTTTTTTGTGCCTGCCTTTGACTGTGTATGCACTGTGCTGTAACTTTGCATTTGGAAAGCTGCCTCTGTTCTAATGCATTAAGTCAATCCTGTTCTCCAAATGACACTTGTACCATCTCGCAGCCTCTACATGGAGGAGGTAGATGCCTGACAGGGGAATTTCTCCTAAAATGCCAGGTTAAGTGTGGCTAAACTTTCATGTCTGCCAGTTTAGTTTTGGTACTGTTCTTTAAATCTAATTACTGCATCTTTCTTCAGCACTCCCATAGATGACATTAAGCCTAAGATAGCACTTACTTCTGAGTGAAATGGTGTGTCAGGTACTGAAGTACTCATTCAATTAACGCATCAGTTCGATTGGCATCTAGCATCTGCTCTTCTTTTTAAAAGCAACTCTTAGATTCTGGAAACTTCTGTGCTTCTGAACTCTACTGAACCTCTCAGTCCTTACCATGCTGGTTTGCTTGTGGCCCTGTTGGCTTTGTATACGTTTTTAGGCAAATGAGCAGAGCGGCTGACACGTTGCAGTCCAAAAGCAAACACAAGTAGTATGATTTCCACCTGCTTAAGTGAGTTATGTTTTTGAAACTCTACCAAAATATGTAATTAATAAGATTGCAGTGAAGCATACCAGAATTGTTAGCTTGAAACTTCTGCCTATAAACAAGAGGATTGTAGTTTTAGCAAGTGCTGATAAAGAACGAAATTCATTATTGGGTAGAAATTGGGTAGGAGGAAACGACATAAGCCTATCTTAGCAAACAGTTTATAGTAGATAGAGTTTGTACTATGGACTTCACATCAAGAACCCATTTGTAACTTTATTCAGAAGAGTCAGTATTCTATTCAAAGCACGGTTAGCTTTTCACTGGTATTTTAAACAAGACTGAAATTTTGCTTCATCCAGTAGCAGTTCCTTATTGAAATCTAAAGATATCAGCAAGTTTTCAGCCAGATTCTCTCCCTAGATGGACAAGAAATACAAGTAAAACCAAAAAGGTTTGTATTATTCTTAAATATAAAGTTTTGAGCTGAAAAGTTCAGATGTACACTGTGATTATTCCCCAGTTATACTAAACCCTTGAACATACTTGAGCAATGAGCTTGAATTAAGTAAACCTGCTGAGCCTTGCAGTCAGTGGGTCTCTCTTGTTGACTGACTTTCTTTAGGAACAGCCTAAAATCAATGTGTAAAAACTTTCTGAAGTTTATGCTCAGTTTTTCTGTTGCTTGCCTTTTTAGTGATTGCTTTGTCATCCTTGCACTGGTGTACTATCATCGTTCTTGCTGTTTTGTAGAACAACTCCTGCCTGACTTATTTTATAGACTCTTAAGACAGACTGATCTTAGAGTTGATTTTATAGCTTTTATGGGAGGTAAGAAGTAAAGTGATTCGAGTTTCCAGCTAACAGCTTGTGGTCTTCATAGCTTCTGGAATCACTGATTTCGGATGCAATGAAGACCAGGCAATCTTTTAGTGGGAATTTCAAACATAAAAGGGCATGCAGAGTTAAACTGGTTTGATTAGAAATACTACCATCTGAATAGGAATTAAAGGGTTGTGCTCATGGTCTGGGATAATGATAAAATACTTGGATCCCTGCAGGAGGTTTTTGTTTGAATACTGTGTAAACATGAGGCAGAAGACACCCTTCACTTTATCTTATTTGACACTTCAAGAGGTTGGAGAGTGTGTGTGTGTGTGTGTGTGTAGGGCTTACCCTGCACATTCATTCTTGTGTTACCCTTTTGTCTCCACTTCTGGTTCCATCCTAATTTGGTAAAAATGAATGTTCAGAAAAGAAATCTTTCTCTAAAATCTTGTAAGAAAGCGGTATTTCTCCTCCTGTAAAGTTGAAAATGTTTGTTTCCATGGTATGGATTTACAAGGACAATTAAACTTGAAGCCAGCTGCAGTTCCATTCCAGGTTTTCAGTGCACAGTTTCGCAAGATGCATAACTTGTTCAAACTGTGGACCGGGACTTTCCAAAGAAGTAGTTGTGCTCTCCTACTTGGTTCTACTGGTAATTGATTCTCAGTATTGTAAAAAGGATCAGATCTCTGATAATACAAGCATAAAAAGAGAAATAGAGGTATTAATGTACTACAGATATATTAAATGGAGAGGTTCCTTATCTGTACTCTAGAGTTAAAAGTATTAACAACTTCATTTTCCTTCCTCTGGACATAGCATAAGCTTCAGTATGTTTGTTTTCATTTATTGGCACTACAAAAGTACATGTTTACATATCTAATCAGAAGCAGAAATCCTTCAGTGAATGTTCCTCATCTGCAGCATTATACAAGGAAAAGCTTTTCCAACTTTAGGACAGTAAAGTATTGGATCAGGTTGCCCAGAAAGGTTATGCAATCTCCATCCTGAGAGATACTCAAAACCCAGCTGGATAAAGCCCTGAGCAGCTTGGTCTAATCTCGTAGCTTTGATTATGGGACTGCATTAGAGATCTCCTGAGATTCAGCCTGAATTATTCTATGACTGTTCTATTCCTGCTCCATTTCTGCCTGGAATTCTCCTTTTCCACTGTAATTTTGGTTCTCCTCCTTCTTTCTTTCCTCTCTATGTACTGTCGTGTATTCTCCCCCGCCCCCAATGCCATGGCTGTGTTTTTCTCACTTCTTTTGTTCTCCTTAGGACTGTGAAATAAACAATATTCTGTTACTCTATTTTGAAGATTGACATTAAGCAGTCAATTTAAGAGAAGCAGAAGATGGTATAGGAAATGAGCAAGCAACGCTTACATTTTTTTCTTTCTAAGTCTAAAAATCTAACAAAATTTAAAGTAGTTAAGTGCATTTAACGTTGCAAAATGATTTTCAGACTTAATTTCTTGTGCATTTTTTAAGCAGGCCAAAACCGCATTGTTTCAATTGTGGCTCTGAAGACCATCAAATGAAAGACTGTCCAAAGGTAAAGGCTACATCAGTATTCCAAAGACCGCTGCTCTCCGCTGGATGTTTCAGTGCAGCTGCACCATTTAAAAACAATATTTAGGTGCCTTGGGGTCAGGATTTATGAATTGTTACTCTTCTCTGTTGATGAGATTACACTGTTCATACTTACAAATTCTAACATACTAAATCAGAACGTAAATCAATTTTGTAGCGTAATGGTTTGAATGTCTCCTTTAATTCATGGAGGGACGCTTTTCAGTTTGAACGGTCTTTCCTCCTGTTTTAGAGCTCCGCTAGATCCAATGCAAATACTCCTGGGTTTTTGCTCTGTAGTTTTGGTTACAACTGCAGTTCTGTCACATGGCCATGTGATAAATGATTAAGCATGCTGAGGGCAAGGAGCACCAGTTTTATGTTGGGTGAAGAAGTGCGTAAATTGTAAGTTGTCCAAATCTAAACTTCCCAATTGTATTATCTTTAAGCCACGAAATGCTGCTCGTATAAGTGAGAAGAGAAAGGAATTCATGGAAGCTTGTGGTGAAGCGAGCAATCAGAATTTTCAGCAGCGTTATCATGCAGAAGAAGTAGAAGAGAGGTTTGGAAAATTTAAACCAGGAGTAATTAGGTATCTCTTTTCCTTCCACTAGCTGTTGCACTACTTTTCTGGAATACCTTTTCTGCCTTCAGAGTGCCAGATGTTACTTTCCAGAGTTCTGTTAAGTCCATCTGCTGCTCTTAACTATGGATGTATGATGTTCGAAATTGTTTGCTAAATAAAACTTTGTTTAATAAATTGCACAGGTTTTTCAAATGAAAACTCATTGCTAGCTTAATAGTCCCACCCTTTCCCATGGTACTTTCCCTAACATAGAGAGGTAAATGTTACTCGTTGGCTGCTCGAATTGCCAATATATTATGTTCCTAATAAACTAAAAATGCATGCAAAATTCTGAAAAATTTGAGCTTTGAATGTCCCTTCCTCTCCTCTCTACTCAAAATGTTTTTAAAAATCCTAATATGGCTGTAGCAGTCTCCAAAGAAATCACTAGTAAATTTAGTGTTGCATTAAATTCCACCCTTCCTGTCATGAAAGCTACAGTTAATGCCATGAATCAGAAGTAACAAGTTGTGAGTTGTTCTCCGCATAGAATTCATTCTCGTAAAATGTTTAAGCATATGAGAAATGAAAGAGTTAAAAATAATCTTTAACATCAGTTCTGGTTTTGACCCAAAATTCTTGTATCTGGGATTGACAGGCAACATAGTGTGATCTGAAGCTTAAGTTATTTTAACTTGACAGTTTTTAAAATTGAACAAAATGCTCATAACTTCCTTTTGTCAACACTCGGTTTTACTGGAGGACATCCTGTTTTCTCTTTGTTTTCTTAACTTAGTGGGGAACTTCAAGATGCACTTGGTGTCACAGATAAGAGTCTTCCTCCATTTATATATCGCATGCGTCAGCTGGGTTATCCCCCAGGTTGGCTCAAGGAGGCTGAAATGGAGCACTCGGGGCTTGCACTTTATGATGGAAAAGGTGAGGAATGTGCTGTGGGAATGCAGTTTTCGGTATGCAGGCTGGTTGCTGGCTGCACCCTATTCAGGGCACAATAAAGTGCCTAGTTTGTTAACCTTCATCTTCCTTGTGGAAGAGTGAGAAAGTTGTAAATGAAGTTTTCTTTCCTAAAATCGTGTAAAAATACTCCCCTTTTATCTAGCTGTAATGCAACAATGAAAAAACTTCAGTGAGTGGATTGCATAGATGAAGACTCTGTCAGTGTGATTTCCCTCTAATCAAGCCTTGCTATTGGAACATGGAGTTCCTGTGTGAGACTGGCAAACAGCCTATTGTCAAATTCCTCTTTTTTTTAACAGGCTTCCCTTTTCTTATGTTTTATGAAAGAAACCAACATACTTTCTAAAGTTCAATAACTTACTCTTGTAAGAGTAAGAACACCACCAGCAAGCAAAGAATACATTGCTTGAAACCCAACTTACCGAGTAATTTCCCAGCTTCTAACTGGTAAATGAGCAACATTTGTGTTGCATCTTGGAGAGCAGTCCTGATGCCAAATTCTGAGGCTGGTAATGGTACATGAAGAGGAGTTTTATTGTGAATACCCAGTTAGCTTCCTGAGGAAGCTTCATGCATGTATCTGATAGATTTGGTCACTGTTACTGCCTTTGTGGATTACAAAGCCTTCTATCAATACTTAAGATCCAGACACTAAAACCCTGTTCTTAAATCCTGTGGATTTTTTCAGTAATGCTCTTAATTGGCCTCAATAATAATTGTATTTCATTATAGATGATGGTGGAACAGAAGATGAAGGATCTTGCCGACAAAGACGCATCACTTACGATGTCTCTAAGTTGATAAACTATCCAGGCTTTAATATATCCACTCCAAGTGGGATCCCAGATGTAAGTGGCTGTCCTCGGCCTTCTAAACAACATGCTGAGCAACATTAATTGCTTTTAGTGAAGTTTAACGTTTTGTGTTCTGTATCTGACAGTTTTCTTTCAACAGGCTCTTATTTTTTCCAGCACCTTGTTTGGGGCTGGGGGCTGTTGAGGTAATTGACATGACATCCATCTATCTGATGTCTGTGACAGCTCTTGTGAGTAGGGTCTGACAGGGCTTCTGTGGTGATTGTTTCTGTTATGAGACCACCAGGAGCCTAGAAGCATAGTTGGGGGTTTTTATTATTTTTTTTTAACACGAAACTTCACACGTGAAAGCCTGTTCCTTCCGTACATCTACGCTTTCTGAATGTTCTTGGAATATGAGAATTACTGTGGGTGTTATTGTAAATACAGTTTCAACCACAGAAAGCTACAACGGACCATTGCACAACCTCTGGGAAGCTCTGTAACAGCTAGAACTAGCAGAAGACTCACGTAGAGGGTGCCCTCTTAAGCCCAGAGTGCACAAGGAATCTCCTGGGCGGCTGCTGCTGGACTTTTATTTTCAAACGCATTTTAACCTGCTGTTAGTAGTGAACATCATCACCGATGCTGATGCCTGTGCGTTAGAAAGAAGCACTTGTGTGTTTTCTTTTACAGTTTTATGTTTGCCCATTTAGTGGCCTCCAAATGTGTTTTTCATTCAGTATTCTTAACCAAAGTTCAGTCCCCAAGTTTTTTTTTCAGTTTTCACTAAAAATTAACAGTTTTTCAAATTAAGCCTTTTTCATCTGAACAGTTTCAAGGGGAAGTTTGTAGTTGTGTTACAAATGTTGAAGAGTAGTTGCTATGAAATAGTTAATGAGACCTTTTGTAAAGATGATGATTTTTTTTTTTTTTTAATTATTCCTCCTACCCAGTGGTAGTGCATTGCATTGGCAGTTTGTGTTCACAGGTGAAAGGACTTTGGTTTGCCAGAAGTTCCTACTAAAGATCTGTTTACTCTGATAAATGAGGCTTTTGATGAGAACTGGAATTCACCTTGGCTCACTAATCTCTCAGTGGTTCTCTGAAGTTTTACTGTTGTGTTATTAACCAACCATACACAACATTTTTCTTTTTTCTTTTTTTTTTTTCTGTAGGAATGGCAGATATTTGGTTCCATCCCCATGCAGCCATCTCAACAGAAGGATGTTTTTGCTAACTACCTTTCTAATTTTCATGTGGTGAATATATCTCATTATTATTTAAAAAAAAAAAAAAGTTGTTCTGTAGTTAGTGTGGCCAATGATGATCTCTTGTTTATATCTTTTTTTTTTTTTGCACAAGGGGATAGACTTTCTTACTGACATTACCAGCTGTGAAATGCTCATGCTTGTCTTATCTGTGCTAACAAAAAGGACCTTCATGTTTAGAACAAACTCTGTTGCAGATCCCAATATTTTATAAACAGTTGTGAAAAAAGGTTGCTATAAACTTTTATGGCCTAAAAATGGTCTTAGTTTCAGACTTCCCTAATAACTGAAAAGCTTACCTGCTGTAGTCATGATTTCCAATAATCTTATTACAGTGACTTGAGACAACATGGTAGTCCTGTCTGGTATCATTCTCAAGTTGTCTCTAACATAGCTCTAGCCTGGTGTTATCTACTGCAGTATACTTCCAGGTAAGGATGGAAGATGTGTGCTCTGCTCTTAGTCCCAAAGTGTAATGCTGTATGGAATTAACCAGTAAATTCTAAGCCTCTCGGGAAGGGATGTGCAGTACTTGAGTTGTGATGGTCTCATAAGACCTAGGTGTCCAGCTGGAAACTCGGTTGCGATCCTGTGTTAGGAATGCAGATGTCTTTTGCCACTTGAACCTGAACAAGATTACAGTGCTGTTCACTTGCATTAAATCTCTCAAACTGCAGTGTCTAGGTTACACACTGGGTTGCCAAATGATTGTATAATTATGAAATAGCTTTCAATATGTTCTTAGAGCTGGAAATGTTATCTTGTACATTTAATACTAATTTCTTTTTTTTTCCTGGATAATTTCTCTTCAGCCAAGTCCAAAATCTAGCAATAAAAGGGCTGCATCTCAGTCAAGGTCTCATCATTCAAAACGACCGAAAGAAGACAATTTGGAGGTACCAGCAGATGACATGGACGTAGATTCTGGTATAGTTATTCTGCAGTTTTTTTCCTAGTTTCAATTTTTATTTTCAGAATAACTTGTTCTGAATTGAAATGTCAGTGTTCATAAAGAGAAGCCAATGTGTTAGTGTTTGTTCAGGTGGTAATTAATGTAACTGCGAACATGTGCCAGCAGTGTCCTACGGTAGTTGCATTTGGGCCTCTCTACAATCAGAGGCCTCTGTTGCTGTGTTTGTCCCGTCTTCCAATAACAAGCAGGAAGTTTCAAGTGTGCTCAGAGCAGTGGGAATACTGCATTACAAATTCCGATCTCTTTACTTCAGGAGTATCCTAAAGACCTCCAAATCCTTAAAAATTTGGGTCAAATAATGTAGGAAGTTACAAGCTCACAACTTCTTAAAAATGAGTCAGACTTTCAGGAAGACTTAGTGTTGTTAAATGTTAGAATAGCTAGAGAAACTTCTGTCTTTTCTTTTGGATTTTCTGTGAGGAAATCCTTCAGTGTGTCTCAGTGTTGGAGTAAGTTTGTTTTCAATACCTTCAGGAGTATTTTGTCTGGTTTTAATTTTTGTCCTTGAATGGCTATCAGCGTTGAAAATCTCCCAAAACATAGTTTCAGTGGATATTAAAACCTTCAAAAAGTTTGTTCTATTTCAACTGAAAACCAAGGATGAGAAGACATAAGTCTGCTTAATCAGAATGTTGGCAGTTTGAATCTTGTCCTGGTCAGGTTTCAGATTCTAATAGATGTCTTTCAATCTGTTTCTAGATCTGGAAGCATCACAAAGATCTCAGACTCCTAACAGTTTTCAGTTCCAACCTCCGCTGCCTCCTGGACGTCCATCGATGTCAACTCCTCCTCCCCTACCACGAGGAACACCTCCACTAAATCCTACACTGCCTCAACCTCTGACATCCACCCGCCCTCCTCTTCCTAGGACTGCTCCACCAGTGAATCCTTCCAGTGATATTCCTCAGCCAAAAATAGTGGACTCGGTCATGGATGAGGATACCCTGACCTTGGAAGAGCTAGAGGAACAGCAGCGATTAATCTGGGCAGCACTAGAGCAGGCAGAAAGCACAAACAGTGACTCTGATATTCCTGTTGATACACCTTTAACTGGAAATTCTGTTACCTCATCACCATCTCGGAACGAAGTAGATCTTATTGCAGATGTAAGGTCATCTGACAAGGTGATTACAGTGGAAACTAGGTTTTCCGACATGGGTGAACAGGCATCAGAAAATGAACCTTCTATAACTAGTCCTAATCCAGGAGATGGTTTACTTCACTTAAAGGAAAATCCTGATAATACAGATTCTGAAGGCTTGTTGGATAACACCATGCCTGCTCCTGACCGTAACCCTAACGATGGGGAAAATACAGGTGGTATTAAAGTGGTCACAAGCATTGAATCATCTGCAAAGAACTCCAGTCTCGTTCCCGATATGAGCAAGTTTGCTGCAGGCATAACACCATTTGAATTTGAAAATATGGCAGAATCAACAGGTGTTTATCTACGAATAAGAAGCGTGTTAAAAAATTCCCCAAGAAACCAGCAAAAGAAAAAGACTTCGTCTTAACTGGTCTTCCTTTGTTTTATTAAGTCCAAATCCCTGCTTCCTTCTCTTTCCTCCTACGAATTTATGAACTCGGATAACCTTCCTCATCCTTTTGTGGGAAGGAAGAAATCTTGACAAATACAGGTCTGTCCCGTTCTTCCTTGGAACTAAAGTCAGTGCAGGGCTTCCGCGTTGACCAGGCCCACCAATGCGGACAGAAAATAGAGAAGAATTTTCTCAGATTGCATCCTTCCACTAAGGAATAACAGGACTGTTGGTTTGTTAAGAGCAGTTTACTTGCCAATACATGAAACTCTAAAAAGAGGAGTTTGTGGTTTGCTGTTCGTTACTTTGGCTAAGTTTTATATTGTCCTTGAGTTTCAGGTGGATTGGTGATTTTTTTAATCTGTCCTTTGTACAATAATCTATACTTTATACATTTTGCTAATTATCCTGTAGATAAGTTTAATATATTCAGAATGTTTTTAAAAAGGCCTAACGTTGAGATTTCCCACATCAAAATCCTGGCAATTGGATGAAAATAATCGGGGATCTACCAGCATTATTTTCACCATTTCAAGTATTTTTATAAATTATTTATGTGGGTCAGTTTTAATTAGCACTGTATCTTTTGTAACATCATCCTTCCTGTAAACTTGCTGTACATACATGTTCATTGTTGTGTACAGAGGTTTAATAAATGAGCTTTTCTATAAAGATATTTTAATTGGAGTCCTAAACCATCAAACTGCTCATTTTTGAAAATTAGCTGCTGAAGATAATTTAAAAAACCAAGCTGATTAAAATGAGGATGAATAAAGTTAAATATTTTAGGAAGGGTCGCAACTATTGGAAGTTCAGGTTTTCATAATGAAGAAGCTGTTAAAATGGTTTTAGCTACTTAAATAGAACCTTACCATACCATTGCGTGTTCATAATCGGAATAATTTCCCACTTCTGAGAGCTTGGAAGTGTTATAATTCTGCTGATACGTTGTTCTAACGCTTTTTTTTTCCCCCTTCTCTTAATTGTCTTCAGAGGGACCTGTGGGTGAAATGACTGTATGTTATTTGCGTTGCCAACAGAGGGAGCGCTAGATGGACTTAACAGTGTTCACTGGAGCTGGTGAAGCATTTGTCCCTATGTAAGTGCAGGAAAAAAGTCTTGTAGCCGAGTGAGATGCGTAGTAGACCAAAGTATTTTCAAGTGTCTAAGACGAGACTTGTGAAGGGAGGATGTTGAAAGATGGTTTTGATAAGATAACTTCAGAGACTGAACTTACTCTTTAAAATTCTCAGCTTTGCAGATAGTAACTATTGCCCAAAGATCCTTATATGATATTCATACACCCTGCATTGGAATGCTGGAGAGAAACCCAGGCTTTTTGTAGTTAAAGCTTGTACGCTTATTTCCTTGTTTCCCCTAAACTTTACAGGAAGGGAAAACCAAAGTGTCTTTATGTATGAACTGCTTGTCCTCCGAGAGGCTCAAAAACCTTTTTGCAGCATATACCTGTTCAGTTTATCTGGTTGCATTTGGAAAGCAAAGGTAAATGTTCATCCTATGTGCTAAAACAAAAGGTGCTTTATTTTCCCCATATTTTATGGGAGAAATGGTATTACTTTCTATAGCAGGAGTGGATAACAAAATAATATGGTACTTCCAGCTTCTGCACACTTGACAAAGAAATCTCTATTGGAAGTATATAGAGATCCTGTACTTCTCTGTGCCTCCTCCGCCCCTGGAGTTAAGAGCTAGTAATGGCAGTTCACACGAGCCATTATGTGCTGCCTGCTGCATTGTTCACATGTGGATGATAATGTGATGCAGGGCATGAGGTAATGACTTCAAGTGTACACACCTTTTGGGTGTGTTGTGGTGCTCATGTTTTAAACATGCAGTTCTCTCTCCACACCTTAGAAGATCTTTTTTTAATAGCTGTTATGAAAGGCTGCTTCATTAGGAGGACATGCAGCCTAAACTTTACAGGAGTACTTGTGTACTTCTGCCTTGCTTACAGAAACCGCAAGATTAAAATCCTCTTGGTATGCTTAGTGTAGGTTCACAATCAATTCACAGTAAATCACCCTTCCACCTAATTGATCAGAGTGGATAAGCCTGGAGTGTTTGTGCAAATTCTCAGTTATCATTAAAGTAGCTCTTAACTTTATTACTTCCGAGATTGTTACTGAAGGTACTAGAGTAAGGGTAAAAGGAAGTCGTTTCAGTAGCACAGCTTTTAACATATTGGTAAATTCTACTTTAAATATGTTAAATCTTTAATTTTATATTTTATATATAATTTTATAAGGCTTTGAATTTTAAATTGTTCAGCATTTTTTTTATCACTTTGGACGTTCCTGTATTTGCTGCACAGACTGCTTGGAGATGGGGATCTTTTTCAGTTTTGGAAGATTATGTCTTCTGGTATCTAAAGCAAATACTATCTGGGGGAGCTTGAGGCAGGAATGGGCTGTGTTTGGGTCCACATCTTATATCCACTGGAGTTTTTGTCCAAAGTGACTGGACTGACTTGTTGTTCAAGTCAGCAGATGTTTTTGTCCGTGTTTTGCTACGAGGGGAAGCATGCAGCCCGTGCTGTCACACTGCACGCTCGCTTGAATTAAAATTCCCACAGCTGGGATTGTTCCCATTTAACACTCTTGTTTCTTAACACAAGGAAAGACTTCTGGCTTTTGTAAATACTGAGTTGTCTACGTGCTCAGAATTATTTTTTATATGGCTTTTGTGCTTCTTTTGCAAAACTGTTAGCAGATGTCTAGACTTGCTCCTTTTAGTCTTGATATTATCCCTGTCTGTCTTGAATATGTTTGGGGGGGCAAGTCAAGTAGCATTTGATACCAGTGCTCATTCTTTTCTAACGATATCAATGTGATTAATGTTTTCCTACATAGTCAAGATCTGTATGATGAGGTGGTTATCGATAGGCAACAGCAGGCACTTTAGCAGACTGCGAGCAGGGGACTAAGAGAACGCTGAACCGGGAGCTGCCTGGGGCTGGTCAGTGGAAAGCCTTGGGCTACCATGCCTTGGCTGGCGTTTGGGCTGTCTGGCTACGGTGTTTAGAGGCTATCCCGGAATCCTGTTATGAATTGGAGCGTGGTCTATTAGACGTAGACCACCTATACCACATATTGAGAGCTCTTCTTCCTTTTTTTCTTATTCTATCCATCTTAAACATCTGTAGATGTTTCATTTCAAGTCTGAGGCTGCAAAATCCAAACCCTTTTCACTAATGATCTGTATAACCCGTATATTAAAAGAAAAAACTTATCCCCTATTAGCCTAAAAGTTTTTTTGCTTACCTGGTAAAGCACAGCATAGCTGGGAATAGAATGCTTTCGTTTGTTATTCTTTTGCCTTTCAAATTTATAGAAGTTCCTGTAATACTTCTCTTTTCTTAAAATAAGATTTTTGTAGTGTATATGTTTTGATCTCAGAAAAGCAGACAGCTTGTGGCAGGAACTGTATAGTTTTTGATTTTAACTTTTAGTAATTAATTTGAAATAAGGGTAATTGTACAAAACACTGGGCACTCGGAGGTATCTTTTAAACTGTTCTTTTGAATCTTATCTTTTAAATTGTCCTTCCTATGGAGGTGGGCGGTTAGTATGGATAATGCTCTGAGAAGACTGAGCAGAACCAGTAAGTAAAACTCCTACTGTACTTACTCTGCTGTAAGACACAGTTAATTATGGATGGGGAGTTTTCCCTGCTGTTTCTCTCATGGTTAGGAATGAATTCATCTCGATCTCTTAGCTATTTATCTATACTTCACTGTGCCTATCAAGTGCTATATATTGTCGCTGCACTGAAGATCCTTGTAATTACTGAATTTTTTGAATCTGTCAGGTGTAACTGTTGGAACTGCAATCGGATCACGCTGCGAGGTCTGAGAAGAAAGCTGAATAGCAACGTATTTATGGTACTTTTAAGTCACATTCCCATGGTGATGGGTGTGGCATAATAACCTAGATTAGAGATTACTAAAATGAATGAGTAAGGAAATTCGTAATGAGGTGGGTATAGTGTGAGCAGGCATCACTCAAATTTTCCCACAGATTCCTGTTGGCATAGCGCTTAGGTTCCAGCATTTAGAACAGCAAAAGTATTGAAAAATGCTAATGCACATCTAAAAATAATCTGTGCAAAATATCCAGGGTATCAGTCAGGTGGGTAGTTGTATCTTCAAAAGAATTTCTAACTTACATTTTTATAACCTAATTCACAGCGCTTAAAATGTCATGAGAAGAGAAATAGCTGAGATTCTGGAAGATCTTGTGAAAGATGTGTTAGCTGCTAGAAGAATTATTTTTACTGCAAACTCTTTAAGGCAGGATAGCTGGGGGGAAAAAAAAAAAAGGAAAAATGAAGAGGAGGAAAAAGCTTAAATATAATTAAAGTGTTTCAAACGCGTTGGTAGTTGCCATGGAACTCCGTAGTACCTTCATTCTGTAACATGGCTGTATTGCCTCCGGTAAGTAAATGCCATTGAAGATTGATGCTGTTCCCAGGAATACACTGTGGAGTCCTGCTTGCGTTTTGGGGGGTGGGAGGGGATGAGTCGGAGGTAGGAATTGGTCTCAATCCTTGGAGAAGCTTATAAACAGGATGAATTTAATAATATGGTCATTAACGTGACAATTGGACACTCCCTAAACTCTAGCTAACGATGAGCAACAATGATTAGACGTTGTTTTACAACATGTATTTAGCTGTCATCCAATGACTGAATAAAAATTTATTTACCCTTTCTTTAGAACTCTCAATAGGAACAAAAAACCTGCTTTGTTTCTCTGTAGGTGAGAATTCAGCTTTTGTTGGTATTTACATAAGTGGTAGACTGATTTGCATAATCCGTCTTTTTTTTAATAGAGTATGGTTTCTCAGTTATCTGTGAAATGGAACACTCATAGTCAAGATGAACGTTATTGCTAACTTAAGGTTAAACAGGCACGTAGAAAGAATTCTTTAAATAGTCTGTTTAAATACTGTTCTCT